CACTCACCCCTCCCGGGGAGCCTGTTTTTAACCTTTCATTCATCAGGACTCAAAACTGTGAGACGAGTATGCCAAACTGTGACTCCAGACCTTGGCCCCGCCACACAGAAACCCCTGACCCCAGACTGTGACTTCCAACACCTAAAATGATCATCTGACCCCAGACTGTGCCCCGACCAGACTGTGACCCTTCACATCAGACCTCGATGACCCTCCTTTAAGATCTTGTTGGCTCTGACCTATACTCCACGAAAGTCCTACTGTCACTTGCCTCTCCCACTTAACCTACCAACCCAGATGCCACCAACCACATCTTCAAATCCAGCCCTTATTTGTGACCCTTCAGTGATGATCCAGCAGACACTCCACCCCGGCCTCCTTTCCAGATCTCAGCAGGGTCTGAGGCTTGGTTGAGAGGTGGGTCTGGGAGCCCACACTTGACCCTGCCTTCCCACTCCCACTACTACACCGCAGTGTTTGGAATAAAACCATGTTTTTACGCCTCCTCAGTCCAAGCCTGAGCTCTGTGTCTGTCTCTTAGGCCCCTTCAACTTTTCTGGAGAAAATGGAACCCGAGAAAAGTCCGTGGGGAAGACAGTCAGACGACAGAAACTGGGCTGCTGGTGTAACAGTGGCAGAGTGTTCTCCTAGCATTCATAAGACCCTGAGTTCAATCCCCAGTTTCTAGAACACAGGAGACGGGGAAAACACAGTCAAGGCCCAGGAAGTGGCAAGAGACCTGAGGGGGCAGGGAAGAGACACACCCCAAGAGTAGTGGTAAAGATGAGGGATGTAAAAATTAGGACCAAGTCTAATGTCCTGTTCCTAAGGACACTGGCAAGAATGGTTTGTTATCTTATGTAAATGAAGAGAATGGCCAACCCACGTCTTGAATACCATTAATCTCCCCAGAGAGAATCTATTTCCAACATTTCTTTTTTCTTTTTTTTCTTTTTTTTTTTGGTGTTTCGAGACAGGGTTTCTCTGTGTAGCTTTGGAGCCTATCCTGGCACTCGCTCTGGAGACCAGGCTGGCTTCGAACTCACAGAGATCCGCCTGCCTCTGCCTTCCGAGTTCTGGGATTAAAGGCGTGCGCCACCGACACCCTCCAACATCATTACTCCAATTAACCAAAACTCGGGTACACATGGGTGGATAAAGAGAACTGACAGTTGCAACAGTGGCCTCGAGAGAGACCTTCTGATTAAGTGCCTGCTGACTCGAGCTGCCTTGGGAATGCCTGGTTGGGAGATGGACTGCCCCTAGAAGATAGATTCAATCCACTAACATACATAATGTCCAGCCTGTCTACCCTAAAGCGGTTTTGAAACAATTTTAAGCCATCATAACAAGGAGAGGACAAGAAACCGGCCTTATGGGTCCTCGGGGAACAGAAACCCAGTCTCTTTGCCAGTAAGTGTTGTTTGCATACACGAATAACTAACTAAGTGGAAAGAGCACTGGGAATGAAAGGTGGAAGATGGAGAGGGGTTCGGAATGCAAGGACTCTTTATGGAACTACAACTCCCAGAAGGCCTTGCCACTGCTGCGCGGAAGAACTCCCCAAGGTCATGCGAAAGACACGATCGCTGCTAATTTGCTTTTTCTCACTGAGCCAGAGCACGGTTACTTGGGGCGGCCATCTCTCTATACGCCACTTACTTATTACTGGCCCATAAGTTTCCAAGGTAACAGTGCAGTGGGACTGGTCTTAGACTGTGGGAAGAGAGACCCGGAAGTGACGCTCTTACTTTGCGTCCGGGACGAGAAGGTTCGAAGATGGCGGCGCGCAAGGGCCGGAGGCGCACATGTGAAACTGGGGAACCCATGGAGGCTGAGTCCTGCGATCCAGGATCCGAAAGCCCATCGCAGGTCTCCCTGCCCGGCAGGGGGCCGCCACTGGGAGAAGGGGAGGAGCTGGTAATGGACGAGGAGGCCTACGTGCTGTACCATCGAGCGCAAACTGGTAGGCTAAGGCCCTGATTCTTGGGTCCAGGAAAATGAAAGGCCTGACTTGGAGCCTGGGGGATGAGGGGGTCTGGAGTCTGTAATATCATCTTGCGGACTGCTGGCTATTGTTGGAGGTGGAGGCCGAGTTCCCAATGTCTCGTTCCCACTCTGCGACTGTACTATCTTACCTCCCTCTCTAGGCGCCCCTTGTCTCAGCTTTGACATAGTCCGAGATCACCTGGGCGACAACCGGACGGAACTCCCTCTCACTCTTTTCCTGTGTGCAGGAACCCAGGCTGAGAGCGCCCAGAGCAATAGGTGAGAGTCAATACTTTTTTCAAGACACCCTCAAGGACCCAGTTAGGGCTCTTTGCTTCTGCCAGAAGCAAAGGTCTGGATCCCCAGCCAACCTCCTGTCTCAACATCCTGGCACTCAGTTCCTCATTCACCCTTTGCTTCCCCAGACTGATGATGCTTCGGATGCACAATCTTCATGGGACCAGGCCGCCACCCTCAGAGGGCAGTGATGATGAAGAGGAGGAAGATGAAGAGGATGAAGAGGAGCGGAAACCGCAGTTGGACCTGGCCATGGTTCCCCACTATGGTGGCATCAACCGAGTTCGGGTACTTGCCTTTCCAGGGGCTTGTGCGGCATTCTAAGCAGCACACCCCTTCCCCCACATTCAAATAGCCCTCAGTGCCTCTTCCTGCCCCTGATTTGCTTCTTTTTCTTTCTTTCTTTTTTTTTTTTTTTTTTTTTGGTTTTTCGACACAGGGTTTCTCTGTGTAGCTTTGGAGCCTATCCTGGCACTCACTCTGGAGACCAGGCTGGCCTCGAACTCACAGAGATCCGCCTGCCTCCGAGTGCTGGGATTAAAGGCGTGCGCCACCAACGCCCGGCTCTGATTTGCTTCTTTTTTGACCTTCTGTTATATTCTCACTATGTAGCCCAGGCTGACTCCAAATTCAGGGTGGATTCCCTGCCTAGGCTTCTAAAGGTTGAGATAACAGGCATGAACCATCACACCCTGTTCCCCTCAGCTTTTACAGATTTATTTGGTACATAGGGTTTTCTTTTTCCATTACCTTAGGAGGAATAATAGCTGTTATATAGACTGTAGTGTTTTTTGTTTGTTTGTTGTTGCTGTTGTCACACAATTTCCCCTTAGGCAAAATGCTGAAACTTATGAAGCTGACAAGATGGGGCTGTCAAGGGAATAAACTGTAAGAGCTGAAACCACAGCAAGCTGTAATGTGAAATGTAAGGATTTTACTTAGCCATTGCTTAGGAACTGAGGCAGAAGGATCAGAAACAGGATGGACAACAGCAGTGACCAGATGTGGGGGGTAAGCACCCAGAAGACCGGTTGTTCTGGCCCTGTGGGCCTGTGTAAAGACTTGGGCTTCTCCCTTGGGAGAAATTCAGAACTAGTGGAGGGTGGAAAGTAGAGGAAAGATCTAACTGGTACTTGTTTTAAGAGACTCCCTCTGGGGCTGGAGAGATGGCTTAGAGGTTAAGAGCACAGGCTGCTCTTCCAAAGGACCCAATTCCCAGCACCACATGGCAGCTCACAACTGTCTGTAACTCCAATTCTCGGGGATCAAACACTCTCCTACAGACATTAGCAGGCAAAACAGCAATACACTAAAATAAGTTAAAAATTTTAAAAAAGAGAGCGAGAGAGAATCCCTCTGGCTTCTGTGTGAAAATTGGCGGAGGGTGCAAACATGTCTGATTCTGTAGGGCGCAACTAACTCATGGGAAGGATGGTGTAGAGGCATGTGTGACCACAGTACAGATGATTAGAAAGATTAGAAGGGCACTTCAGTATAGGTGTTGGGTGTGAGGAAGACACAGTCAAACATGGGTGTCAATCTTTGGGCCCAAGGGGAATGTCTTAGTTAAGGATACTATAATATTGTTGTGAGGAGGAAACACGACAACCAAAAGCAACTTGGACAGTAAAGGGTTTATTTGACTCACACTTCTACATTGCTGTTCATCACTGAAGGAAGTCGGGACAGGAACTCAAGCAGAGCAGGAACCTGGATGCAGGAGCTGATGTAGAAGCCATGGAGGGGAGCTGATTAGTGGCTTGCTCAGTCTGCTTCCTTCCTTCTTTCCTTTTGTTGTTGTTGTTGTTGCTGCTGTTTGTTTTGTTTGAGACAGGGTTTCTGTGCATAGTTATGGCTGTCCTGGAACTTGCTCTGTAGACCAGGTTGGCCTTGTACTCAGAGATCTGCCTGTGTCTGCCTCCCAAGTGCTGCGATTAAAGGTGTGTGACAACACTGCCTGCCAGCCTGTTTTCTAAAAGAACCCAGGACCATCTGCCCTGGGATGGCACCACCCACGATGGGCTGGGGCTGGGCCCTCCCACATCAATCACTACTTTCAAAAATGCTCTACTGCCTTCAACCCCATCTTATTGAGAAAATTGAGGCATTACAGATTACTCAAGTTGACATAAACCAGCCAGCATAGTGGAGAACGCCAAAGGAGTACCCTGCCTATGTAATGGGCAGGCTGAGTGTAGAGGTGAAAGGTCATATGGCCCAGGGCCTGGAGCCACAGAGTGTTTCAGATGCTCCAGACCACCAGGAGGAGCTTAGAGCTGCCTCCTCACTCCTAACTTCTCCTCCAGCACCAGAAGGTGACCTGGTCACTAGATGGTCTTGGAGGTTGCAGTTTCCTTCTCACAAAGCTGTTTGGGAATTGTAGTTTGTCTGTAGACATGCAGAGGTTATGGTTCTAGGGGATCAATGTCCCAACTTTAGGCCTCTTCTCTGTTTTTTGTATGCCTCTGGCAGGTATCCTGGCTGGGGGAGGAGCCTGTGGTTGGAGTATGGTCAGAGAAGGGCCAGGTGGAGGTGTTTGCACTGAGGAGGCTCCTGCAGGTGGTAGATGACCCCCAGGCCCTGGCCATTTTCCTCCGAGATGAGCAGGCCCATGTGAAACCCATATTCTCCTTTGCTGGCCACATGGGTGAGGGCTTTGCCCTTGACTGGTCCCCTCGAGTGCCTGGTAAGTTTCTCATGGTTCAGGGAGGGTGGGTAGTAGGACTTCTGGAAAGGTAGGAAGGTGGCTAGGTGGGTAAGGTGGCTTCCTAACCCTTATCCAGGCCGCTTGGTGACTGGCGACTGTCAGAAGAACATCCACCTCTGGACGCCCTCAGACGGTGGCTCCTGGCATGTGGATCAGAGGCCATTTGTGGGCCACACACGGTCTGTGGAGGATCTGCAGTGGTCGCCAACTGAAGACACAGTGAGGAAAGGGTCTGATGGGGGCAGGCTTGGGAGAGGAGGAACCTGACTGAGACAAGGGAACAGTGAGTGACAGTGTAACCAGACTTCGGGTTGAGTTTAGAGCATATCTCCCCACTCAGACTTGTTCCACCCCACTCAGGTGTTTGCCTCCTGCTCAGCTGATGCCTCCATTCGCATCTGGGACATCCGAGCAGCCCCAGGCAAGGCCTGCATGCTCACCACAGCCACTGCCCATGATGGGGATGTGAATGTCATCAGCTGGAGCCGAAGGGAACCCTTCCTGCTCAGTGGTGGGGATGATGGAACCCTCAAAGTCTGGGACCTACGACAGTTCAAGGTATCTTCCCAGCTGGGGTCCTAAGGGCTGGGGAAGCTACTGGGAATTAAATACTGGTGAGGAGGCAGGAACAGCAGGATGTGGGTATGAGCAGGGGATCACTCATTCAACCCTGCACATGCCTCCCCGGCTTCCCTGCTCTTTTCTTGAGGCTCCCCATCCATCCATCTTCATCCTGCCTGCTTTCTCACTGTCTCTGTTAGGAGGTAGGTACCCAGTGTTTTTGCCCCATACCAGTTGGGCAGTACAGAGACTGTAGCTCTAATTTGCCAGTGTGGCAGAAGTACAGCTGGCTACAAACTCATGGTGTTGGGCTGCTGGGAATTGTAGTCTGTTTTAATGGACTATACAGCATCAGCTGGAAATTTGAGCCCCATTCATTTCTTTCAGGAAAGGAAACTGAGGCACAGAATAGAAGCAGAGGTGACATCACAACTAAGCTAAGAGTTGCCCATAGAGTTCTACGGGCAGTGTTCTAGGCAGGTGGAAGAGGCACTCCCAGTCTCTAGAGGAAGCCAGGACCTCTTCTGGCTTCATGCCTTCCTTCCCTGCATCATCATGCTGTCAGGTTCTTTGCCCAGTTTAATCAGTTCTATAGAATCATCCCTAGGGTAGCTTCCAGAGGGAGGTGCAGCCCTCCATGCCAAATGGTCCCAGGGACTTCTGTTCCTAGTACCAGTTCTTCTAACACAAGTGCTATAGTATTGGGGGCCTTAAGCATCAGAGCTGTTTCTGTTCTGTTAAGGACTCAGCCTTAAACAACAGCCATGCGTGTGCTGGGAGGACACCCCTCTGCTCTTTTTATAGAAGAGGGATCCTGAGGCATACCCAGAGACATGCAAGGGCAGGCTCCTGTCACCTTGTTAGGAGGCTTATTTGCAGAGGAAAGCCTAGCTCCCAGCATCCCATGGACCATATGTCACCTTACCTGTTGTCCTTTCCCTGTGTTTCCTTCCTGGGCTCTGGCTTTGTATGGGTGTAAGGGAGGGGCCCTGGTTGGACTCTGGCTGAGTACCAAGTACTCATACTGAAGCCTGACTCCTACACTCTCTCATAGTCTGGCTCTCCTGTGGCCACCTTCAAGCAGCACATGGCCCCTGTGACCTCTGTCGAGTGGCACCCTCAGGACAGTGGGGTCTTTGCAGCCTCAGGTGCTGACAACCAAATCACACAGTGGGACCTGGCAGTTGAACGGGACCCGGAGGCAGGGGAGGCAGAAGCAGATCCCGGGCTGGCAGCACTCCCCCAGCAGTTGCTGTTCGTGCACCAAGGTGAGACTGATCTGAAGGAGCTGCACTGGCATCCGCAGTGCCCTGGGGTTCTGATCAGCACCGCCCTGTCAGGCTTCACCGTCTTCCGAACCATCAGCGTCTAAGGTGGCCGGCACTTGGCCTCAGGCCTTGACTCTTCGTGGGAATTGGATCTGTTAACTCATAGTCTGTAGACTGCACCCCAGAAAGAAAGACTTGTTCAACTGGCCCATGTGGAACAGAAGTAACGGATCCTACTGACCTGGGGTCTGGATGTGGATTGACTCTTGTGGTTCACACACGCCTTACACCAAAGACTTTAGCTTGTCTAGTTATGGCTTCAGTATAAGATTTCTCTCAGTGTTGACTCCTGGCTTGACCCTTAGACCTCTGACCCAGGTCCCAGTTCTGGCTGTTGATCGACTCCAGGAATTTTAAGGGTTTTGCCATGCTGGGCCAAGTCTGGGTCTGGGTTGTTTCAGTGGAATTTAGTTTTCCCTTTGCTTTCTGGCCAGCTAGGTCTGGCTGGGATCCACGTTGGGAACTGTGTGTGGTCCCCTCACTGTGCTGACCACTACTGTACTGGAGAAGGGTCTGGGGCTTCTGCTGCAGTAAAGGACAAGGCCCCAAACACGTGAGATGCCAGTCCTTTGAGCTTTCCTATGGCACAGCTAACGGAAGTAGGGAGGAATTTGGAATGGAGCTATCCCCTGCATGAGACTCTGTCATCCTGTGAGGGTGGCCTCTTCCTTTCTGTCTGGCTCAGCCTTGTCTAAATCTTATTCCATTTGGAGCTGGCTGTGAGAGTTTATTAAGGCATCATCATAGGGAATGGGAATCCAGGTATTTCTCCCCTTTATTATCTCAGCATTCCCTTCTATGTCCACTAAGCTGCAGTTGCCCTTCCTGTGACTTTTTTCCATATTTCTGATCCCCAATGTTCCTCCCTGCCACCCACCCATTATCTGCACTGTCCTTTCCAGTCTGCCTGGGCCGCAGCCCAGTGCCCTGCCTGGCC